ATTAGTTGTTGAATAATGAAAGCTGGGAACAAACCATTGGAAATAAGAATCGCTCTAACTTTCATTGCGCTCATTGTGTGCGTATAGTGCTTTACTGGTATATGAGGATCATACAGCAGAAAAAAAGGGTGTGTATCGCTGCAGAAATTTTTTCCTTTCCAGAACAGCTGATGTTTGTCAAAAAACTCTTTGGTCTAGAGGTACTAAAGTGAAAGCAGGTTTTCATGATGTGACCACTTACCACCAAGAAAGCAATTTCTTTCAAACTTCAGGGCAAGTAACTTGATTTAATTAAGCAGCATCTCAGTCACTGCACAACTTTTTTCATCTTTGAGCAATAGTATTTGTTACTTTTGGGGATTTCATTACTCTCTGGGAAAATCTGTACTAAAGCCTGCACCTCAGTGAGACATCTTGGGAATAATACTCCAATCTTGTGATCTTTATAGATGACATAGAATAGAATACTGGTATTTCTGTACAGAAAATGAAAAAGTATTTTCTTATAAAAAAAAGATGTCAAAAATATTGCCAGGTCCTCCACAAGAAATATTTCCTTTTTTTTTTTGTGGAAATCTTATATGAAAAGTTCAAACTACACTTTCAGATGAAAGAGCACTTTTTCATTAAATATGTGAAGTGACTGTCCCCACTGACACATTTCTATTGTTATTTCTTGTTTTTTAACAAACAAACCAAAACTCCTGAATAAGGAAGAATTTTGATGTTTAATTCGTGCATAACATCACTGTGGGCATGGGAGGAAGTAGAGGGAAATGTACTGGCGAGTGAGGTTCATAAGGTGCAAGTGTATTTGCAGAGCAAAGCTTGGTTTCCAGTACAAAATTTCCAGTGCAGCTTGTGGAGGAGCTTGGTCTGCACTGGAATTCTCTTTGGTGACAAGAAGTCACTTTAGCTATTTCTGGATTCAAATAGTCAACCCAGGATATCTCTTGGGAACAAAGTACTAGCCAAAGGATTCCATTGTGAATCCAGTATATTTCTTGGGATTAAAGTATTAGTCAAATGAAGAAATTGAAACTGTAATATACTTTAAAGTAAGAAATTTCAGAATTTAATCTCCTGTGATTGTTTGTGTTTGTTTCCTTAAGTTTTTTTTTTTTTTTTTTTCCCCCTTTGGTTTTTCTTTGTTTATTTTATTTTTTTTTTAATAATCCTGATTAGGATATAACATTTGTTGGTGTGGTTGGAGGAGAAAATCATTGGTGCTAAAATATTGGGAGGACTTTGAAGTGCTCAGATTAATTAAAAACATAAAATCAAGCCAGCATGAAATTCATGCCACCCAGCAGATTTTCAAGGGTGAAAGTGCCACATAATGAGTCATTTATGGCTGTGATGGTATTCTTGTAAACCCTCTGATTTATCAAAAGGGTATTAATAGAGCAGTTGTGTAAAAATGGGATAGGGCTATCGAAGACTTAAATGCAACTTTCTAAATGTGGCATGATGTGTACGCACTTCTCTAAGAAAGATCGGATCCTTATTTATAAGCTTTGATGGCATAAGCTCTATTTAGCTGAACAAAAATGCGGAAGTCTTGACATGCTTCAGTGGGAATTGGACAACTTAACTAGTGTAGCAGAAAATTCCAGAAAAAAAAAGGCAGTAAGTATAAACACTTTGTAAGATTAGGTTTCAATAACTAAAACCCACTGAATGCAAATAACTGACATTTCGTATATCTACTTTTTACTTTTTG